TTCAAATTCCCGTTTTATTTTATCCTCTTCTTGCAAAGAACACCTTGAAAACGTGTTGCCTCTTTGACCAGTCGTAGAAAGAGTCGTAGCTTGCCATTCACTGTCTATTACTAAATGCCCTTACGTGAGAACTTCCGGTTCAAAGCCACGTTGGTCATGTGACTTAATAGCTCATTCTTATGCAAATACTTTTAAAACTTCAAATAATGTAGGCAACACCACAAACTCCTTTAAACAATAAATAAAATTAATGATATTATTTTAACTCTCTTTTGGGAAATTCACTTTAACAGTGTTGTCATGGCAAAATTAACACACTTCTTAGTGTCAGCTACACACACCATACACTGATACAGATACAATAGTAATGCTAATCTACTCGGGCTTCTCCATTTGGCCACAGGTTCTCATCCACATCACATCTTATGTCATCTAGGGCAATACACCTAGAAAAGAATCTTCTGGCATGCCTGATCCATCCCTGGCAATCTTCTGCTGATATGTCCAGGCATCCAGCATTCATTGCATCCAAGAGGGACATTTGATCATGTGGATGATGGTCGTAAACCTTCCACCGCCATGAGGAAAAGAATTCCTCTATGGGGTTGAGGAATGGAGAGTAAGGTGGGAGGAAAAGTGACTCCATTCTGGGATGGGCCGCAAACCACTCGGTGACTGCACGGGAGTGGTGAAATGCCACAGTGTCCCATACAATTATAAATGTTGGCTGATTCCTTCTCTCCGCATCCCTTTCCTCGCCTAGCACAACCCTTCCATAGTGATCATTCAGGAACGCAAGTAGCCGTTCAGTGTTGTATGGCCCAATTAGTGGTCTGTGTAACAGCAGTCCATCAGTGGATATTGCTGCGCACATTGTGATGTTGGCACCCCTCTGGCCCGGGACATTCACTGTGGCTCTCTTCCCAATCACATTCCTCCCTCGTCGCCGTGTTTTGGCCAAGTTGAAACCTGCCTCATCCACAAAGATGAAAATGTGGTGTGTTTGCCTGCCTTTAATCTCCATGACTCTCTAAAATAAATCCACAAGGCAACAGAAGCTGTTACAGTAGTAAATTTGTGCAAATTGTCTTTGTGTGTGTTTGGTTTTGTTCAAAAACAGTTCTGTATTTTATTGTGATCTTACCTGGACATATTGGTTCCTGAGTTGCTTGATATGTTCAGAGTTCCTCTCAAAAGGCACAGTGTACAACTGTTTCATCCTGACCTGATGTTTTTTCAGGACTCTAGAAATTGTTGTTATGCTTACACTGTGAATATTTGCAAAAGTAACATTGTCTGCCAAGACTCTGTGTCTAATCTCAGTGAGTTCTATCCCATTGTTTCTGATGACCATATCAACAATGGCAGTTTCCTGCACATCAGTGAACATCCTTCCTCTCCCTCCTGTGTGAGGTAACCGTTGAGTCCTAAGCAGAAATGCAAAAACAATTACACAAAAGTTTATTTACTTCTGAAATGTGCAACTGAGTCAAATACCCTTGCAGAATACAAGTTACAGTACCTGTTGGTTTGCCGGAAAACTCTAACAATAGATGCCACTGTAGAGCATTGCAGAATTGGCTGCACTCTCTGACCAGCCTCTCTCATTGAGAGACCATGATTTACTACATGATCAATTACAGTAGCTCTGATCTCATCTGAGACTACAGCTCTTGATCTTCCTCTTATTCTTCTTCCACCACGCATACAGTACGTATTCCTCGCCCCCTCCCAGCCACTCTTCTTCCTCTTTCAGCCACTTCTCTATTTCTGACTGGGTCCATGTTTACATCACAATACAAACCTATTCAGCAGTTGTCTCCTTTTGTAATGAAATTGAAAGAGTAACACCTGTGTAGATGTTCATCTACAATGAGAATCAGCTGTGGCTGGTTAAACTGCATTTTTAGATTTGAAATATGTTTCAATAAAATATTGCTGTTGAATTTTGCTGTCTTATTCAGTTTTGCATTATGTTATTGTTTTGAACATACGTTTAACAGTTTTGAAAATAGTATGTAAGCACGTGCAAAATGTCCTGTATGTACAAAGATTTTTGGCAGTTGTTGTGTCTGAGTGAGAAAAGAATTCATGAAATTTGAGAGATGTAGTCATTGAATGCATTTTGTGCCAAAACAATGATAATTGATCCTCAGTTTAGCCCACATAGACTTCTGTTGTGCTCACTGTGTGAAGAGTTTTGCAAAAGTGACCTAAGTATTGAGAAATGTGTCCTAGCGTCTGTAAAAAACTGTAATGAGCGCTATTACAATTTAGAGATGTTTTGAGGCATGTGGACTGAACCGGACTAAATAGGCCTACTTTGTCCAAGAGCTGAATGGGAACATGCATGTTTTGCTCTCCATTTAAATTTCAAGTAATCTGCCTCTCTTTCATTGTCACGTAACGAGACCATAGTCTCATACCACATAGAGAAGCAGAATTTAATATAGGCCTACTGTTGGCAAACTACTGGCAGATCATTTCCTTCAAACAGACTATGTGCTCTGTCATGTTACGGTTAGTTAAATCAATTTTACCTTTGAGAAAAGCATACAAAATGGTACACATTGACAAATACCATTTTAAATCAAATGTATTTGAATGTGCATTGAAAAAAACTAAGTGTAAAGCAGTTTTATATTCCGCACATTGTGCCAAATTAATTTGTTGATTTTAAAGACATTTTTAACATACTGCTTTTACTCTGTTGTCACTTGCAGTGGAGTCACTCCGACTTGTTTGTACTTGAACGTCAAGACTATGTCAAACTTAACTGAGCTGCAAAACTTGACTTTCCGTTTCCACGGTGTGGATTATAAACCATTGTTGCAAAGTTTCATTCATCACAAGATTGCTCATACTTGTGTCGACAAGATAAAAGAGAAGTGCTTCAAAACGTTGAATGTTTATGTACACTCACCTAAAGGATTATTAGGAACACCATACTAATACGGTGTTTGACCCCTTTTCGCCTTCAGAACTGTCTTAATTCTACGTGGCATTGATTCAACAAGGTGCTGAAAGCATTCTTTAGAAATGTTGGCCCATATTGATAGGATAGCATCTTGCGGTTGATGGAGATTTGTGGGATGCAAATCCAGGGCACGAAGCTCCCATTCCACCACATCCCAAAAATGCGCTATTGGGTTGAGATCTGGTTACTGTGGGGGCCATTTTAGTACAGTGAACTCATTGTCATGTTCAAGAAACCAATTTGAAATGATTCGAGCTTTGTGACATGGTGCATTATCCTGC